CAGTACTTAGTACTGCCTAAAAACTAGCGAGGACAGCAAAAATAAAACTCCATGGATCGCAACTGCAATTTGAAGAATATCTGGTGGACTAAACATCACTTTAAAGACTTAAATCGTCCCTGTATTTGCCGAGGAACAGACAAATGAAGATGGAAACTTAAGAGGCCCTGCCAGGGAGGGGACCCATGTCGCTCGTCTGAAATTTTAAAACATCTCGTGTCGGTGTTTATAAATGCTTCATGTCGCTGTCCAAAACTGAACGAAAATTCTTTGTCTTTGTCGGAATTTTAGAAAAGGGGATAGAGATGCGTTGTGAAGAAACCATTACAGTTCTGCAATTTCTCAGTTAACATGTTGCGTCTATACATCACCATTCACAATTGAGTGATCCACGTTCAACATTTTAAGACTAAAAGTGGATTTCCACCACCACGTAATTTTTCCGTGCGTACGCACGTACATTTTACGCGCGTAAAAAAAAGAATAGAGACTAAGTATGAAAGGCCACGCATAAACGTAAAAGTTGAACCTCGCTCAACTCTTACGTTTACGCGTGGCCTTTCATACATTGCCTCTATTTTGTCTATTTTACTTATGTGCGTAAAATTTACCAGCGTTCGCAGGGAAAAATTACGCCTCAGTGGAAATCAACCCTAACAGACTTGGTAAATCGTGAAGGCACGGTGGTCTACTCTGTGAAAGCGGTTGGAAGGTCGGTGGTTAGGTTACCTGCTTCCTGGTCTCTCCACCGTCGTCAACGCCGTGTTGCTATAAAAGACTGCGTGTTTAACTTAATCTTGTTTGCAGATAAATTATATTCCATTTTGCGAGTTGTTTGTTTCTTTGTGTTTCGGGAGTAGAAGCAGAAAATACCTCATGCTTTCTTTTAACGAGAAGGCAGCCGCAATTTGATTTAAATACGCTAAGACAGAAATCGGATTTTTGCGTACTGTCCTATGGGTCTTGTTCCTTTCTTAACCCTTTAAGTCCCAATGGTGACCAACATCAATTTTCTCCCAACAATATCCATACCTTGTCAAGAAATAATGTTATGAGAATTTATGAAATGATCACCAAAGAGCAAATGCTTTGATATGCTATTAAATTCTCCC